TCGAGTTATCGCGCTAATGGACACATATATAAATATATATATATATGAATTTGAACGGATGGTGTTTTTGGCCTCTAGGGACCTCAAAACGAAAAAGTAAATCGGTCCCGGGTCTAGGTCTTACCATGAGACCTACGGTAATAGCTTATTCCCTATATGGGAAATTCGCTAAAATGAGGATAAAATATTAATATGACTATTGCGTACTTTACAAAATATGGTAGGTTACCTCACTGCATATTTTCGGTGCTTGGTACGAATTAATATTACTAAAATAACAGGCTCCATCTTCTTTTGAAAACCCATTTGGTTAATATTCTAATCGCCACCTTTTTAGTAAACACAACCAAAATTTGTATATTCAAATTTGTAAATTTTAAATTTCAAACTCCCATGCTAATGAATTATGAATTAGTTAACTGTTGTAGTTTGTTTGTTTATAGATATTATGATCAAATTTGGAAAATTAGTTATTTTATACTAAGTTATTGATATTTTACTTTAAAAAAAACACTACAAAAACCTACCTGTAGCAGCAAACCTAGGTACGTGTTGAACATAATTTTATTTATATACATTTAATAAAACATCCAATCAAATGGAAATTTGCTGAGTCTGCAGGTTTGCTGTGGCGGAGTTGTTTTACTCATAAAATAAGCTTAAATTTTAAGATTTTATAGTATCACACTATTTAACTAAATGGGATAAATTATCATAATCCTTTAAAGTAACGGTCAATTTCCTTGTGTTTTACCTATTTTTAATAAAAATAAAAAACTAAATATGCCTTATAACAAATAACTCAAATACCGTTGGGTTTAAAGAAAGATGGCAATACAAAAAATGTGCATCTTTAGATGACCTACATTTTGTATATTTAGCTTTTTCCTGTATCTCTAATAATAAAGTCACCATAGCAAAAAATACAGAAATATGCCGCCATTTTCCAACATGGTGGCCGTAGCACAGCTTCAATTTCAGGGGACTTTTAGTATTTTCAAAAGGAAGGTACACCCAACATCTGTACCAAATTCCCCGGTTGTGCTAACTTTTTTTTTTGTCAAAACATATTTTTATTGTACTATTTACGGATCTTTGACCCATTCTGTGAGTAACAGCTGTGTTTAGATCGTATAGGCTAGGTATGTATAGCCCAAGATGCCTTGTATATAGCCAATGCTATAATATAAAGTTGGACATACTTTGGTTCAATGTAAGAGGGTATTAACGGTCCAAACCGATGGTAAAAAGAGTCCCGGATCTTAAAATTATATAGACTACCAGGATGATGATTCATCTAAGTGAGACTTATAAACTCACCATTGCAAATGAAGAGTGTTGTATGATCTTATACAGGGTGATTACCGAGAAACGATGTTTTCAAAATAAGGAGTACTCTGGTAATTTAGCGCAAAAAATATATTTATGAGTGGAAAAACAGTGCACACAATATGCAATTTCAGAATAAAATTACTTAAAATTGAGTATTTAAAAATTAAAGGTGGTCGCCTTCTCCTTGGATACAGTGTTGCTACGGATTTTGCTAACATATCTCTAGGAATGGCGTTGATTTCCTGGCGAATAGCTTCTTTAAATTCCTGAATGTATTTTGGTTATTTATGTTAACTCTAGATTTCAAAAATCCCCATGGAAAAAATCTGGAATTCTAAGACCCAGTGAGCGAAAAGGCCAAGTGACATCACCAAAACGTGAGATAACTCTTGTAGGGAATGTTCGCCGAAGAAATTCCATTCTTAATGCGAGCCGTATGGACTGTTGTCCCATCTTGTTGGAGCCATACATTACGTGTCTCTAAACGTTGATGGCGCAGTTCCGGCAAGAAATATTCTTCCAAGATTTCTAGGTACCGTTGTGCATTCAATGTCACTGCTCTGTCGTCGTTGTCTTTAAAAAAGGACCAATGATCCCCTTTTCACTAACCGCACACACTAGTCACACGTAAGCTATGAAAGAGGTCTCTCAGTTATGTTTTCAGAATTTTTTGCACACCAAATTGTAAATTCTGTTTGTTGACTGCTCCGTCCAAGTGGAAATGCACTTCATCACGCATAAGGAAAACTGCTTCGTCATTTTCGTCTAAAATTTCACTCATTGTGTTACAAAACTTTACACTTTGCCTTTTTTCTGCTTGACTCAATTGATGACATACTGCCAGCTTGAAAGGATCAAATTTAAGATCTTTTACCAAAATCTTTCTCACAGTGGATGGGCGAAGTCCGAGAGCAGATGTCCGCTTCCGAATTGAGCGGCTAGGACTCTGAACTGTGCCTTGGCGCACTCTTTCAACTGTCTCAGAGGTACTGTCCATGCCGGTCCAGGAGGGTCTTCTTAATCCAACGCAATATCGTGTTACAATCAGAGATATCACCATGCCGTGCAAAGGTAAAATGTGCACAGATAGTCTCGCTAAGTATGAGTGACTGATTCACCATTTGCGTAATATCGACGCATGACAAACGTACGATGTTCAAGGTTCCACATCTCGGCAAAAATCGAAACTGCACACTTCCCCCTCCACAGCGCAACAACTTCCGGCCGTCGCCAAATGATATTCCTTGTGTACTAGTAAGTTACTACGAAAGTCAAAAACATGCGTTTCCCAGTAATCACCCTGTATTATTCAAATCTTTTTATGGACATTTTTTTGTTTCTTTTGATACTTAATACTCTATTTATAGTCTATGTAGCCCCGTTGATAAGATTTTCTATGAACTCAGAATGTTGATAAGGAGCTAATTTTACCTTCCCCTTGTGACAACCTAAGGAGAATATACTTGTGTCCCTGTTAGTCTGCTCTGACTCTAAATTCATAGATTTGCAGTAGTGACAAATCCAATTTAACAACCCCAATTAAAAAAGTCGGCGTTTTTCTTTAGGGAGTTCCAGAGCACATTTAACACCATCTCTGCTATTTACTTTTTAGTTCTATGGTTCTCTAAGTTTTTTTTTTGTCTGGTTGACTCTTTACGGACAGTTAATGACTTACCTTTTCTTTTTCTTTTCGTACTTTTCACACCCTGGGGATTATGATAAAGTTGTGAGTCAACTTTGCCTTTTAACATCAAGTCACACACTTTTTCGCCAGAACCGAAATCGTAAGTCACAGTTTCTAAACCGACTTCCCTGTGTACTCGAAAAAAAGAATTAAGGTATAGTTCACTGATAAATTGTAGTTCCACATATCCAGAGTACTCGCCATCTCGAGAAGGTAAAGTTTGGTACTGCTGAACGTCAAACACTGATCTTGAGTAAGATTCAGCACCTAGGTACCTACGATAAAATGTTTATATTTTCCCCACTCATTAGCAATTTTCTGTACAACTTGCAAGCGGATTTCCCAATGATTGTTCTGGTGGCCATAGAGAATAAATTATATTGATCGGAACAAAAAGTTCCGTCCCCTACTATGGGTATTACTTCACGTTCCATACTCAAACATAAACTGAATTAGCACTTTCCTTCAAATCTGTTCGCAGGAAAACTAATACATTATTCGAAAATACAAAATTTACACCATAACATAGGCTACAAATAATTTTTAAAAACACTTCACATTGTGGTATAATAAGTTCACTAATACCCTTTCCCTTTTTCGAAATCGTGTCTGTTTTTAGCAGGAACTCCTAGACAAATATTTACATACTGAAAGTGAGGTTATAATAAAAATAACAAATGTGTGACAAACATTAAACAGCTGACATATTATTGATAAACTGTGTATAATATTCTTCTATAAGAATAATTGTATTGACTCGACCTTTGAAGGGCTGTAGGTCGTAGCCCTTAGAAAATACGTAAATTCTATGGAAGTTCGGCAAATCTACGCATTATCCCCTTTAATTTGAGACATAAATCTTGTAGATCGGTCCATTAATGGCTGAGAAAACAGACTTACAACTGTGTATTAAATATGTAGATGTGTTGTTGTGCTTTTCTACAACACTGCTTTGATTTTACTATGGAGAATATCACAAAACTAAGATGTACGCAATTCACTTTTGGTTCTAAAATCAATTTAATATTTGTAACGATATTCCTTTACCCAATGGTTAGAGTGTAAATTATTGTGAATCCAATTATCTAAGGAACGAGTAAAAAAGGAGAATCCAACGAACCAAAAATCATTAAAATTGGTCCAGCCGTTTTCCAGTTTAAGTGGTGTAACTAACACGACTTTGTCATAGTATATATACTCTCCAACCTAAAGATGAGTGAGCGTAGCGAACGAACTTCAACCAGGACATGATTGAGCCATGCAAACGAGCTCATCTTGAAAATGAACGAGCATTTGACATAAAACCACATTAGGACAGGACGTCGGGCCATAGTTGAGTATAAAATTGCTGGCTCATTATTACTTAAAATAAGCTTTGTTTAACAAGACCTTGTCCAACATTAAGCATTATAAATATTTAACTAGATTTATCTTGTGAGCAACATTGTTATATATACATTATTTAGCACACACTGGTTATTAAAATTTGTCAATCAAGGTTCCACAGAAAAAGAGTTATAAAAAAGGATAACAAATACAAAATAGTTTATTTATTAACTTAACAGTTAAATTATTTTATTTACAATAGAAAAACAGATTTAAAAGTATATAAGATACATTCATGATAGGAAAACTAACCCTAAACTTTGTTAAAGCTAAACTTATAAACATATGTACACATTACAAAAGTGTCTCAAAGCACAACCACACAACATGCCATGAGTCTTGAATTTCATTTGAATAGTATCGGTTCTGCTTAAAGTAGGTATGCTACCATGGTGGAAGGAAAAAAAATAGGTGTGCTATTCCCACATATTCTGACGTCACTCGGATTGCAAACAAAAGATCATCTGATTGTAACTGTCAAATTAGTATACGTATTTGTTAATTGTTATTGTTTTTATTATTATAAAAACAATAACAATCAAATAAAAACAAATACCTACTAATTTCACAGTTACATGATCTTTTGTTTGCAATCCGCCCTAGTGAAAAAAATTTTCTGGTCCAGGTTCTGGCCAGTACTGTCACAGAACTGACCAGTTCTGCCACAGTACTGACAAGTACTGGCCAGGTTCTGGGCGAGACTGGCCAGGTTCTGGGCGATACTGGCCAGGTTCTGGGCGATACTGGCCAGGTTCTGGGCGATACTGGCCAGGTTCTGGGCGATACTGGCCAGGTTCTGGGCGATACTGGACAGGTTCTGGAATGATACTGGACAGGTTCTGGAGGGTACTGGGCTGATACTGGCCAGGTTCTGGCGAGTACTGGGCTGATACTGGCCAGGTTCTGGCGAGTACTGGGCTGATATTGAAGTTTGTATCTTTATTTTAATGGGTCTGGTTTTACTTGATAGTTTTAGTGACTTATGCCCAGTACATTTTTGTATTATTATGGCAATAAAACTATATTCTGATTCTTATACTGGCCAGGTTTTTGCTGGTACTGGATGATACTGGCATTGTTCTTGGCTGATAATGGCCTCTGGTCCAGAATTCAGACTCAATTATATGTGTTTGTTGTTTTTTTACAAGTTATTCACTTTGGTAAATTGGAGATTACTGATAACGATTAATTTATACATAATCATAATGAGCAAATCTGTACAGAGCTACAGACCACAAGTGTTGTCCGATTGTGATGAAATTCAGCAAGTAATAAGTACCAAACCATGGGTTTTCAAAGTTTTAACTTTTTTGAAATTTTGTTTTTAATGGTGATTTTTCCATAAAAACCCATGAAATAATAGCAAAATCTTATTTTAAAAAATTGGCCAAAATTTTTTTATAAATAACAAGTATGTTAGAGCCCTTTAAATTCTGAAAAAAAGCTACTGTAACTTATATGTTATTTTATATAAATAGAGGAAAACTGTGTTTTTTTTAACCTATATTGATCAAAATTAGTATATTTTGGTCTTTATAATTTAAATTTAAATGGTGCAACCTCTCAGTGTTGTGAAAATTAGGGTTTATATTTTTTGCAACTTTTGTGATTTTTTCCTGTAAAATATTAAAGTTACTACAGTACTACCACATACCCATACATAGGACAAGTATGTGTCCTAGAATAATTATCTCTACAACCAAAATAAAAGATTGATTAAAATAACTTCTGTTATTGTTTTGAAAAATTGAGCAAGATTAAAATTTAAAAGAATTTTCGCGCCAGACTGAGAGCTAATGACAGGGTCCAGTGCAGTCCGTGGCAGAGGAGGGGAGGGGACTGATTTTTCATTTTTCTGTTCCAACTCCAACTGTCAATTGTCAAAAGATCGGCGTCGCCATCTTTGCTTGGCTGTTGTGCCTAACCTCTTGACTTTGCAAAAGTATAACTTAGTCCTTTCAATTTAAAATTAAAATGTAATAGTGTATAATCGTATCCATATTATATTAGTAGCCTAAGATTTTTGTTGTTAGGTAGTTTACCTTCAGTTTTTTTAGTTTTCTTTCACCAAAGAATATCGTTATTGAAGAGGCTGTCTCCCAAACCAAGGTAAGGAATTCAAAATAACATTAGGCCTACTTTAGTTAATAAGTTTCAATGTGAGTTACACATCAAAAATTAGGTTCGATAAAAATTCTGCAACATCTAGTCTTTCTTTAAACTGATTAAAGTTAGGTTAAGTTATAAACCGGTAGTTAAGTTAAGTTACTTATAGAAAACTAACCTAAATGAGTTAGCCAGGCTTTGGCTTACAGTTATAAGTTTTTAGACTACCTAACAAATTTGCATTGGATTTAATCTTAGTACATTTGTTAGTAGGCCTATAGCCTTGATGGGGCTTTCTTTGAAAGTTTGGTTTTTACTTGAACGGAGTCCTAACGTTTTACTGCATGTCCTAATGCGATATCACTTTTTAACCTTACTTAGGTGAATCATTGGCCACAGTTTCAAATCTGCAACTTTTAATAACCTATATAGGAATATACCTAACTTAGCCTACTACAATCATTTTCTTAAACCTATGCAGTCAGCCTTAAGTTAGTCAAAGCCTAGATTAAAAGTTAGGTTACAAGTTAAATATCTTAAATTCAATTGTTAGGCCCTACACCTAAATAATTCTTACACCCTTAAAGGATAGTTGATTTCATAAAATAAATTCCTTAGGCATAAGTTAAAAATAGGCTACCGGTACTGCTAGGTAGGGTAGGATGAAAATAAAATCGAGCCAAGCGCAGTAAATTAAACTTAGGCTAGAAAGCATTAGCTAACCAAAAATAACTTCCAACAAACCGAAAATGTACTCCTATCTAACGTATTTGTTTGACCAATTCCTAGAATAACTTAATTTGTTATTTACTGTCACACTATGGATGAGGCCTATTTTATGTTATAATTAAGTTAACTTATCAGTAACATTTCTCGACTGATAACTTACCAATAATTTATTCATACGGTATTGACAGTGACAGCCAGTTTGTTCTAATTTACCTGAACTTTGCGACATTTTACATATCCTAGGTTAAGTTAAGTATAAGTAAATATAAGTTAAGTTCTAGCTAACCAATTTTCGTCAAAATCTGTTACGTTTCTTAAGCGGTATGGATTTTTCTAGGCCTGTTTACTTCTTAACTGAAAGTAAGTTAGGCTAGAACAAATTTTATGTTGTTAATAAATGTATGTAGCCTACATAGCTTGGTTATTGTATCCATACTTTTGAAATTTGTGATAATTGAATGGGAATCGGCTGCGGCACATTTTATGTGCGTGGGTTATGCTTGTCGAAGCACCTTATTGCACCATGCCGAGTTTTGTGAACTGTACCCTATTTAAGCATGAGTAGATCTGGGAAAACTTTATTATGGTTGATTTTTAGGCCCTTTTACAGCATTGAGAAATATATTAAGCTGATTTTGATTCAATCAATTTTATTTATTCCCAACGGCAAATCACCGTTACACGAGATTGCAAAAAAATAAAGTTAAAAAAGTGTGCATGAAGTTCTTGTCAAAGGTTTAATTTCTTTTTGTCTGTCTTCCCCATTTAAAGTTTTGAATCTAGAAACTCGCTGATGGAACCTTTTCAAGCTGAAACCTTTTTCAAAGTTTTGGTGGTTTTGAGATTAGATTTTGACACGTTACTAGTGCTACATAGCCTACTTACTATTAATAATAGCAAACTTCTTGTTATTTCTTACAGAAGCTGTTTTTCAACCAGTTTCCAGAGGCCAAAGAAAAAGAAACATCGAGACGGTGATAAAAGATTGGCTAAGACCGTCATGAAATCGAATTGTTAGCAAGTAGGAAGGAAGGTAATTTGATACCTAATGATTGATTAATAGATGATGTCAGTCACCATCAAAGCAAAATGTAAAAACTTAGCCTAATGTTTCATTTGCCTTACAGAGTTGATGCTTGATTTATTTGCACATAGCCTATCTCTCTAAGATATCAAAACTAATAGGTAGGCCTATAGACAAACAAATTAAAACCAACACTTTTTTTTATTGGAAACTGCAACATTTTCTCAACCAAAGCAAAATGATATGTTTAAGGAGTTAATGGCAAAAAAGGGCTCAGTAAATTGAAAGAAGCCAGGTGTTCTGATTCTGCTTTAGAATAAGAAATCTGTTCATGAGTCATCTCTTAAAAATTTACATCCAACACCAGTTGAATATATTCAATGTTAATAATAGAATGTTACTTTTTTCAGGAGAGAAACGACTGAGGAGGGAGAAACGACTGAGGAGGACGAAGACTGCATCCCATAAATGGCTCATGGACTCAATCTTTAGATAATCTTTATGTCTTTAAAATTCATTATTATTTATAAGTGCAAAGATCTAATGTAATATTTTTAAATACATACATGTTGGAGTATAATGCTGAATATTGATTAAGGCCTACACATTTGCTAATGAGGTAATTTTTCAAATACCTATGGATAAACATTAACAAAATTAAATATTTTGTAATGGATGATCAATTTAACAGCAGTATTACCTTGCTGACTAAAATAGAAGAAAATTCACAAATAATAATTCTTTTACCAACAAAGGAGCTAGTAGACCTAATAATCCTGTGTTAAATTGTGCATTGTCTTTTGATTTTGTCACTAAGGTAGGCCTAAGATTTATAGGCCTACATAAAAAATCGATAAAATGCTGGCATAAAGCCATCTTTACAAACAGTTTCAATAGAAATTAGTTAATTTAACAATCAATATTGTTATATTTTAAAAAGTTAATTAACCTCAATTAAAAATTGTGTATCAATCCGTAAAATTGTCTGATATTAGGTATGATTGAGATTCATGTTAATATTAGACATGTAATATTAGATACATTCATGGTAATATTAGATATGTATTTGGTTATTTTCATTTTGTTTGACGGTTTGAATAGCACGGAAATAACAAAAAAGTTTTTTTTTATTAGGTATAACAGTGTCTATTGTAATTGAGTACCTAATCTTACATAAACTGCAGAATTATAGGGTCCTCAACCATTTAAGTAAGAAGTAATCATGCTCATCAATAACCATGGTTTAGGCCTATATAAAATTAATGAGTCTTGCCATTGATTTCAGTAAGTAGAAAAGAGTGGAAATTGTGATAAGATAATGGCAGTATTTGTCTGATTGGAAAGTGTAAGTCAAGAGTGTGAAGGGTCACACTCTTGACTTACACTTTCCAATCAGACAAATACTGCCATTATCTTATCACAATTTCCACTCTTTTCTACTTACTGAAATCAATGGCAAGACTCATTAATTTTATATAGGCCTAAACCATGGTTATTGATGAGCATGATTACTTCTTACTTAAATGGTTGAGGACCCTATAATTCTGCAGTTATTGTAAAGGGTTACAATCATTTTCTACAAAAGAGTTATATAAATGGAAATAACAAACAATCGTCATGTACCAATAATGTAAAAATATCAGCATACAAATTTAATTTTTTGGAAAACCCGTCGATAAATTCCTTTCCCTCATGTAAAAAGGTAAATATTTTTAACGAGTTATTCACGTAAAATACAAAAAACTATGGATACAAAAACGTTACTGTATTTTAATTTGAGAAAATGTGAAAGACGTGATAAAATACTAACACAATTATGTTTTTTCACATCATTCTCATGTAAAAGTGGGTCGTCTTCGCAAGCTCAAACAACCAATACATTCTGGAACAGTAGGCCTACTGGCCAGGTTCTGAACCAGTACTGGCCAGGTTCTGAACCAGTACTGGCCAGGTTCTGGAACAGTTACTGGCCAGGTTCTGGACCAGTACTGGCCAGGTTCTGGAATAGTACTGGCCAGGTTCTGGACCAGTACTGGCCAGGTTCTGGACCAGTACTGGCCAGGTTCTGGAACAGTTACTGGCCAGGTTCTGGAACAGTACTGACCAGGTTCTGAACCAGTACTGGCCAGGTTCTGGAACAGTACTGGCCAGGTTCTGGAACAGTACTGGCCAGGTTCTGGAACAGTACTGACCAGGTTCTGGAACAGTACTGGCCAGGTTCTGGAACAGTACTGGCCAGGTTCTGGAACAGTACTGGCCAGGTTCTGGTTCTGGCCCAGGTTCCTGCCAATTCTGGAACCTGGGCCAGAACCTGGCCAGTAACTGGATTTTTTTCACTAGGGCGAGTGACGTCAGAATATGTGGGAATAGCACACCTATGTTTTTTCCTTCCACCATGGTATGCTACTGTAGTTGGAGTTAGGGAAATATATTGAGATATATATTCAAATATGGTAGATTTTATGGCTACTATATAAAAAAATCTTCGATGACATAGTTGTAATAAGTGCTGTATATATTTAAATGAACTTTATAAACTATTTAGTATAAATAATATATTAATACAACTTATTCCAAATATAAATTATATATTAATTTCTATACCATTCAAAGTAAAAAGTTAATGAATGCTGGTTGAATTTGTAGAAAGATTTAATACTGAATCGGTATTCAATTTTTACTATGTTTAATTTATAACCAAGTTTCAAGGTTATAACAGGCACATGAGGTTTCTGCCATTTAGGTTGTGAAGTAGTGTGTTGGGACTATTTGGATTATATATCAAAACCATTCTTAGTGGAACATTATTACGGTATGCATTATAAAATGGAAGTTTGACTTGTGTGCTTTAGCAGAACAAACTGCTTTGCCTGTTTGTAATGTATTCTACTTCAGGAGAAAGACTGTGAGGATATTCTTCTTCCATCATAAGAATAATAGGTACCTCTTAAACCATCTTTATTGAGGAGTGGAGATGGATTTCAAAACAACTTGAGAAAAACATAATAAGACATATTTTAAACTGACTTTACTGTGGTAGACCCCTAGTGTAAATTTGTAGCATTGAGTTATAATAAATCCTCATAGGGTGCGAGCACCGGTGAATTACATGGGAAAATAGGCTATTACGCTACAGTGTAAATAATAGTTTAAACGTCTTGTCCATATTCTCCTGTACTTCCTAATGATAAAATGTATTATGTTCAAACTGAGTGTTGGAAAATACAATTCACCACACATATATCACTGCACCAATGATTGAATGGCCCCATAAAATAAAGGATTTTAAAGTACAGAATCTATGCATGACCACTTTTGATCATAGTAAATTACCATAAACTTAAACACACGGTTGAATTCTGGTTATGGTGTATCCCTATAAATGGCATACAAAATGTGTCCACAATTCCACGAAATCAGGTTTTTAAACATCCTTTCTTATTATTCTTAAAGTAAAGAGGTGTGTTTTGTAAAACAATTACCTACCTAAAAGATTTAAATGTATTGAACATGAATCTCAATAACAGGGTAGATTTTACAATCAGTTCAAACAAAAACAGCCAATTATGTTATACAGATGGAAATTGAGCGCAGATTTTGGTTTCCAAGAGTATTTTTTTTATTATTCACTAGTCAAATTTTAACATTCAGAATAAAGTAATATTTACTGTTTGGCCTATTCAGTTTAAATACTACTAGAAATCTTCATATACTGTAGCGAGCATTAATTCAAATAGCAAGTTTAAGAAATGTAAATAAATTAAATTTCAAAACTATTGAAAGTCAGTTTTATCCTCAATTCGGGCATTTACTCACACATATACACTAGGCTGTTTGTACTGAACTGTGTGTTTGTTGGAGACTAGAGAGTGAAGCTGCAGTTTGTCTAGCTGAAGCCGAGTTGATTGTCTTCAAGAGGTTCAGAGAACTCTTGCAGTGCTCGGAAGATGAAGGCACACTGGACCTTACATACAGTGTCGTCCAACACGGCTTGGGACGTGAACTGACGAGCCAGTTGGAAACAGTTGGTCACCTTCACTGACTGACATACAGGCTGCAAACAAGACAAAATGTGAGCCAGAACATCTTCTCTTGGCCTCAGATATGTCAAATTATTTGTGTTTTTTTTTATTATCTAAAACATTAAGAAATCTTTTGAAAGCAACAAAGACAGGAAAGCTAAACAGTAAATTCTTAAAATATTTCGATAAAGGCAAAATAATTACTGTACTCAGTTTCTCCTTGGTCTACTAATCAACATAGGTGAACTACTGTAGTAGGTGAATAAACAACATAAAGCTCTAGGGGTTTTTTTTTGTTTTGCATAGCACCATTGAACTGGATGCTGAAGTAGACATTCCCGAATATACAGACCAGTTGTAGAAAACTTTTCTCCAAACACGATAACATACTTTGATGAGCCAATCAAACAGTATGCTACAGGCAAAATTTGTTTATTCTTATAGTTTCATCACTATGAAGTAGAAGATTGAGGTGGGCGGGCCATGTGTTTATAAAGGAAGAGGGCTCCTTATTGAAAAACACCCTAATCAACAACCCTGAGGGTAGAAGACCTTACTGGAAGGCCCAAGTTGAGGTGGAGAGATCAAGTAAGAAGAGACCTGTGAAGAAGAGGGGAGGAAGCAATGTATCGTGGAATCTGGAGGCAAGGCAAAGTACCTCCTTGGGTACCGGTACCAAGAGCCACAGCAGTAAGTAAATAAGTAAGTTTCATCACTATGATGGTTTATAGGACATAAGATAGTTTAAAGTAAGTTGAACTTTCCTTTCCTAGTTTGGTTTGGTTAGAAGGTTAGCTTATTAGACAAAACTTTAGTAATTGACATCAGGACTCTATTTCAATCAAACACAGGAGGGGTGTCTACTTGTATCAATAGTGAATATGTACTCACCCCCTCTTTAGTGCAGGTGCAGGTGGTACAGGGGGAGATGTGTTGTGTTGCCCCGATGTCTATGGCAGTGTTCCTTACAGCACATGCAGCTCTGTCCTTCCACGCTGTCAGATCTACCCTGGCTATGCTGCTACAAGGCACTCGGGGGTTCCTACAACACAATTGCCTTAATTAGGTTCATCCTAATTAATCAGTGTTATTGATGTCATATCAATGTAAATTTGTAAAAATATGCTTGTCTTACACCGTAATTACAACTGTGGAAGAAATTATTAAGCTAAAGATTAAAAAGGTTCAGTTGAGTAACTAATTAGTTTTAATGAAATTCCCAATGGAAAATTCATATTACCTACTGAAGTCATCATTGTAAATTGTAGGTTTGGGCTGCTCTAAGTTTTTAGGGTATCAAGAACCCTAAAATGATGATATAGAAGTGTGTCAGTTGGAAAGAAACATGATATCTCTCCAGAACATTTACTGATTTTTTAGAAAATTTTATCAAACAAGTGGACTGAAATCTGAACATTTTTACTCTCTGGAAATAAAGAGACAAAATCAACAGCTAAGACTTAGAGAGGTTAACAATAGTTTTATGTTTGAAACTAGTGGTTGCCTAAAAAAAGAATCACTATAACAATATCTTAAAAAAAAGCAAGTAGCCGACTAGTATTTCTTTTGAATCAATATCATATTTTTGTAGCTTCATCATGATTAACAAACAATACTAATATCAACCTCACATGAAAGGGTCAGGCAGGTCCAGCGCATGTCTCTGTATCGTCGCAGCCCCCTCCACATTGTTGCAGATGTAGCTAGAGATGGTCATCTTCCTGATCTCAGTCAGCTGAGCTGGCGTGAACCTTGTCAGTGGGTCATTGTTCTCATACCTACCACAATGAGCTTTAGTTAGCTTAACACTTTTGTCTTACTACAAGTAAAACAGAGATACATCTAATACTTACATTCTTATATATTTATATTTTGATGATCATTTTTTTAATCACAGAAATTTTATTGTATGGAATAAACTATAAGACAATGTTATACATGGTTAAGCAGCATGTCCATTTTGTTTATGCCTTACCACGCTGTATTATTGTTTTGCCAGAATTTTGCATGAATAACAAAGATATTTCTATGCCATTTGTAGTCAATTGTACTGATGTATTACCAAATTTCTTGGGCTTTAAACTATCGTAGCCTACCGTACTCCTTCTACTGCTTAGAATCCCAAAATGTAACTTGACTGCAGTTACTATTACAGCTGAGTAGCTGTATATACCAGTTGTCACTTACAAATCGGAAGGTTGCCAGTCCAATCCTGAGAAAAGTATATTTGATATTTCTAGAGCTCAACATAGCTGCCAATCTAAATTGGTTTTTACAGATGCATCAGCTTGTTTGATTAAAGAATCTGCTGAAAATATAACCTAGGTACAATCTCACTTAAGAATTGTAATATACAATGTAATAACATAGTGGTGGATGACATACCAAAACCTGTCGCAGGACCGTAAGCGGCGGAACTGATGTCCGACAATGCAGGCGAAGGTAGGTCCAAGCACTCCACCGGGTAGCGCTCGCTCACTCATACCACCCGGGAATAGGTCTATGTCATCTACATGGTCGTACACTGTCCTCAACACTTCAACAAGCTCCGGAGACATCTCACCTCGCAGATCATTGAAGTCTCTGGCACGAGTCATGTTGCAGAGCTCCCTGTAGTAGTTGTAGCCTCGTATTCCATGATCACGGGCTACATGTTAAATAAATGTTTGTAAGAGATCTTGACCAGACATGATGTTTTCAAATTGATTAATTGTTTAAGCCATAACTGATGTCTAGTAGAACAGATATGTGACAAACAAGTGATGAGGTTTCGTTAAACTAATAAATCTACCAACTATTTAAATTATTGGCCTTTCATAGTTACAGAGACTTATTAAAAAGTTACTTGGACAAAATTAGATTATGATTATTGCCATGGCCTCCTATAATAAAAGGCCGTGGTGAGACAAAAGCTGTTGCCAGTTTTTTGGACATAATTTAATTAAATTGAATTGAGCCATCGACAGATTGCACTGATGTAATAAATTGGTGATTTCTGTTGAATGAATACATCATATTTTTAACCATGTCAAACTGATAGAACAAATTATTGTATGCTACATCATCTGACAAAAAATAAGATAGAAAATGAAAATAGAATTGTATTCATAAGCGTGTTCTGTGACTGGCTCATTCCACTATACTCTTTTTGAAAGAAATATTGGCGACAGCAGCTCCTTACAGATGGTATGTCTACTTCAGTATCCAAAATCCAATTGTGTAACCCACCTCTCTGCATGTTGAGAGATATTAGGTCCATTCCTGAAAAAATAACTCCGGTCTTTTCAAACAAATGATTAGTGACTTCCTCGGTGATAAAGTTATCCAAAGTCTCCATGGGGGTATCAACAAGTCCTAGTATGATTTCCTCTATCATGTTGGGGCGGTAGAGAATTTCTGGTTTGAAGAAGTGATCCCTGAGTCGCACAGGGGGTTGCTTCTCTCTGTACTGAGGATCTACTCTGCGGAACACAGGACGCAGCAGACTGTGGCCGAACCTGAATGCTGCGGCTGAGAACTCGTTGATAACTGTTGCATCACAACTGGGGTCATAGCCTGTAACATATGTATGATTATTGTATTACTGTGATGACTGGGACGGTGGCGTCGTCCTGTATCCAGCTACTAGAAGGTCACGAATTGTGGATATTTATAGGCATGCACTGTGGATGCGATACTGCCAACATCTAGTTCTAGTGAGAACTACGACAATCCGCAGTAACTTACTATCCTGATAATTTAGACCAATTCGTTAATACCAAGGCAAAAATGTAGTTCGGATTCCACTAAAAACTGTAGGTCCCTTAGTTTAAACATATCATCAGTTATATTAATATTTTTTTAATCAATCCATGTCATGTAAAAATATTATTTAGAAAAGCTATAGGCCTAAATGGCAACAAAAAATGTTTATAGCTTAATATTTACAACCGATTTGTTGTTGTTTTTTCACACAGTCTTGTTTGGATTGTATAAAATTAAGTGGCAAGCTGGATGTGCATGCACACAAGAACCTTTCCCCCACCTCAGTCGCTATTTGTTATTTTGTCCAGTCAACAAATTTATTGCTGTTGGATAAACATAATAGCACTGATATCGAGCGGTTTTTTTTATGTCCCACCTCCACATCCCAAGACGCTAGGCTTTTTGTTTGGAACCATGTGTATTACTTAAGGATACATCAAGGAGGTTGTGGCATTATCACTTAAACTGCGCTACCAATGAACCAGATTGCTTCCTAGCATCTAGTAGAATGACCCCCAGAGTTTGTTAGAAGAGCCTTTACCTCATCCCTCCCTACTCGTCATTCTAATTGATAAAATCCTATGAATAGAACTAGACACAAACAAAATCAATAAAGATTGATTATAGTTTTTAAAACATTTTGGAAAATTTAATTTTAATGAAACTACTTATTTGACCCCTTAAAACCTTGGGATTGGATTTTTAATGGATACAGTAATTCCTAGGTTTAGGCACAAAAACTAAGAGTGTCTCACTCAATCTGACATGACAATTAGTAAATCAATAAGAAAATTATAATAAATGTAATATTACAGTTTAAATTTTATATGTTAAAAGAAATGAGCTCCAAAGCACACATATTAGTTGATACTCTACAGTAAGGTGACTTTACCAGTGTAGTAGCCCTCATGTTGTAGAGTAAGCCCGTGTCGACGGATGCCCTCCCAGCCAAAGATGCGAGGTAGCCACTCAGAGAACACGATGTGTTGGTACATTGCTCCCATGATGCGACGGGTCTCTTGGTACAAAACCTCGTCACCCCAGTGTGGGTTGATCACTGCCAACTCCCCTACGATGCGGTTGTGTTCTCTCATGAAGATAGTGTGCAATGATCCCAGTCCCGGCTGCTCACTGGCCCTGGCATCACCTGTAGTTGAAACACAGGAGAGTGTTATGTGAATATCTACAATGTTAAGATATGTATACAGAATCTCGTAATATTCATCCAAAAGCTTTATAGGCTAGTAGTAAACGTAAAAGAGGGAGAAAGAAAGTGTCATTGTTTAGCTGGCATTTTCTACTCCCCTCTAAAAAAATGCACTTGTGGGATAAAAACTTTGAATTAGTTGCAAACTCTTTGAGTGCTATCAACTGATTGGGACTCTTTGCTTGGGTAAGTAAGTAGTGTATTCATTTATTCGTCCTTAATTTATTCCTAAGCCAGGTGATCTTTCTCCCAAAAATAACTTAAAAGTACCTGCATTTACTTGATTCCATAAAATAGTAGACCCATACACACTCCAACTAAGCTTTTAATATGGTATCATAATGTTAATCAGATTCAAGCAAGGTATACCAGCAATGAAGCACAACTTGTCGGGTGAGCGACACTCAATGTGATCGTATATCTCAGGCAGCAAGTCTCTGCCTCGGGTGGGAGACCTGGTGTAGTTGAGTTTGCCTCCAGAGAAGCTGCGTAGCATGCGGGCCTCACACGCGTCTGAGCCGTACACAAACGACATGTCTAGGTAGGCAGTCAGCTGGTTGATCTGCTCTCTTGGACCTGACACATTAAATGATCAATACAGGAACTCAGCCACAATATTGTTGGATACTGAAGTAGGCATCCCATCTGTATAGACCAGCTGTAGCTTATGTGTTAAAGAGAACATGAATGAGTTTAACCCATACGTGAACTACGCGGCCGCATATGGCGCCACGAAAAAGTGGCGCCGTGGTGCCATCGGAACAAATTTTTTTTATGTGAACAACGTAATTTTTGTTTATTTTTGCTCAGAGTTCAAGTGTTCAAAGCACCACAATAAAGGCATTTATTCTGTAAGCACCAACAGCACTTGAAAAATGTGTATGTTGTATTGCACTACAACTCAAGGACTCAATGCCATTTGCAGTTTCGATTTGTGGTGAGCTGACGCTCAGCAGCGTATACGGCGCGGCGCCTGTGGGTTTCATTTCACGACTCACTCTCACTCCACTCATGCATGCGCTCGAGATAAGCAAGCGCGCAGCGCCACTTGTCACAACAAGAAAATTCCCCCTCCCTTCTGCTTCTGATCCTAGAACAGAGCATTACGTTGTATTGCACTCTTTTAGCTTTATACGTATACCGTATCGGTATCGTATTGGCATTGTTTTGAAGAGATGATTCATGATTGTTGATGAGTGAATGATTACGAGTGTTTTAAGTTTAATTTATGATTAGCGCATTAAATAAGAAGAAAGTTTAAACTGAATGAATGAGTAAAACATCTTGCGAGCCGATACTAATAAAACAATGGCAGAAAAAAAGAAACCATCGGGCACTTATTATAGAAAGCATAAGGCGAATTTGGAAGAGGAAGATAAAAAACAAGCCAAATCAATTAGTAGATTTTTGTTTAAATCATCTGGTGGCGAGTCTAGTTTGGTCTAGTCCGCCCAAAGAAGTCACGATAGAAGACGGCAATGACTTAGGTATTTATTTATTTATTTTCCAAGGAAAGATTAAAACAAGCAGCTGATCACAAATGGCAAACATTACGTCATGGTCGTCTTCTATCGTCACGTCATGCTTGACGAGCATTATGGCCTGCTTTTTTAGTGTGGCCTTGGTTTTGCTAAAGTTTATATGATGAGTAAAAGTGTAAAAATGTTAAATTTCTGCGAATAATAAACCGTCTTTTATTGCAAGTATTCTTCTAACCTAAACTTATAAAAAAGTTCTTCCCAAAATTATTGGGTGAAAATTCACAAATACGGTTAAGTGATGTTCGTGGGGTGGGGGGGGGGGGAATTCTAAGTGGCGCTGATTCGGGTGTTCGCTTAACTCTGAAAAATTCCTAGAACCGGCCCTGTGAATGAGCCATTAAAAGTCGGCAGGACCGCCGACCATCTTGGATTTTCTGCCCATTACGGCAATGTTAATGGTTGAAGCATTACGGCATTATCTATTAAAATAAAAAGTTGCAAAATAACTCATTTTGTAGCTATTGAAAGCGTAGATGTTTTTGTTGTCTACTTTTTAATTTTAATTGTTACCTATTATTTTGTCAAACTACATAAATATATTGACTTAAACTGTGATTTTTTCAACCTCTAAAAGTTGAAAAAAAAAAAGTAAAAGTTGAAAGTTAAAAAGTTGATAGTTTTAAAAATCTGAAAAGCAATTCAAACAGAAAGTATATTTAAGAATCAAATAAAATTTTCTAATCGGTAATCAAGCTTACGGTGCATGATTAGTATGCTTCTACGTAAACGCATGTTTTTGCAGATCGGCGCTCGGACAACCACTGTTTAGCGTGGCATTTTACGGTCAAAACAATGAAAAACTATTTATTGACTTCTGCCAACTCTTAATGTTATGAAACTTCAAATGTTAATGAAATTTTAAAAAATTATAAAAATTTCAAAAAACGGAACAACAATTTTTTGTGGAAGATGGTCATGAATTTGCTGCTATTTTGAGAACGGGGTGAAGATGTCTCTGTGATCGTGGAAGATAATTGTGATTTTATAGCAACTGTGGGAGAAGCAGAAGATTATGTCTCCGTGATTGCAGAGGACTTACTCAAATTCACCACGTAAGAAATAATTAATACTTTTATTTAATTATTAGTGATTTAGCCAAAAAGGTAATATTTGAACTGTGTTTTGTGACTCAATAACACCTTTAAATGTGTTATTAAATCACGAAACACTGATACATTTGCATAATTAATGTGTAACTACTTACTCGATTTCATGATTATTGTTGATTTGGTAATTAATTTAATTTGACAGAACTCACTTGACATAAGTTTGAGGTACAGGAACAGTAAAACACTGGCATTCTGTTACAAGAGGAATGTAATAAAGAAATTAAGAGCAAAATAACAAATTACAGAAACAGTGAGTGAGTGAAAATTTAAAAACGTACGTTTTCATGTCCCTGGCCTTTTACTTCGAAGATACTGGATTTGTAGTTTATTATTATGTGTTTTAATATTTTTTGGGACGGGGGCAAAATGTTACACACATTTATTTAGTTTTAAATAGGTTCTAGGTATTTTTTTTGTATTTTTAAAGTCTTGAAATTCACGACCATGACGTGTCCCTAGGGTACATTTTCCAACTTTCACGCTGTTTTAGACTAATTATTCATGCCAAAATACATAAAGCCATATTTTTATGTCATCAATAGTTATTAAACTTACAAAAAAGGAGCATATTATAATTTTATTGTCACTGAAAACTGACTACCATGACAAAATAAGTCTGTCCCTCGATTTGGCGTCAAAAAAATTTTCAACTTTGGAGCACGACGGTGGCAAGACTGGCGTTGATTGCGTCAGTTCGTTTTAGAGACTAGTTCAGGGTGTACGACAGGATTGTAGTACCGGTTGTTTTGAGTTGATAGGGGGAATTACAAGATCAATAAAGGCAAGTTTGTGTTTTTTGTAATTTTGGTGTGTCCATGACCATACGCAGTCATTCGATGAAGTAGACACGGTGTTAGTTTTTGTTTATAAGATATTTCAATTGCTAGATTAACCTAGAATTCCACTTTGTATCCTCGAACATGAGGTGCAGGGCTACCGCCAGAACAGAGCCAAATAACACGTAATGTCACGACTAAAGTTTCACGACCATCGCGGGTTTTTTCACGACCAATCCAGCCTTATGGATTATAATGTGTTTGGTCGTGACAATAACTTAAATAAAATTGTAAATTGAACAGTTTAGTTCAATTAAAACACATATTTTTACCATAACTAACAGTATAATTGAAGGATTTTTTAGAAGATTTAGATTATTCCAGGTAATTCACGACCGTACCGCTTGACCCTGACCATCACGTTTATGATTTCTAGCATAAAAATTTCAAAAATTAAAATATCATCATATTTCAATGTTTTATACACAAAAGCCCTAGTAGCACAAATATATATTAAATACATATGAATAAATGTATTTAAAATCTATTTTATATATCTCAAGTGTGTATTAATGTCAATTTTATATAATATTTAAAATATATTAAATATATAAAAAATATGTTTTTGAATCTATTAAATATTAAAAAAATATGTTCCAATAATATATTTTAGTGAATAATATTTAAATAAAAAATGTATTTAATATCTCTTCCAAACATCCCATGGGGTCTAAACATAAAAACACAAAATAATAAAGATTTAGTATGAAAAACACAATTATCAGTTGATTAAATTGATTAAATAGTTCATAAAAACAAATTTTGAAAAAATTACTGGATAAAATTTTTTCATCCCGGGTGGGTCTCGAACCTGGGTCCTTCGACTTATGAGCCTCCTACCTTACCTCTGAGCTACTTGTGACTGTTGATAGCATTAGTTTTCAAATGGTGAAAGAGTGGCCCTCAGTTGCAATGGTTGCAATACTCGAAATATTTTTGATACTACAGTATAATATGATTCTGTTAATATGCTTTGGGGCATCAAGTAGTTGAGTTGAATAGTGCTGTAGTGAATAGTGAGTAGTCTCCACGAATACAAATACAGTAAACTACAAAAATTAATTTAAATACTATGACAAATATTATGTAATTTATGGCATATGTAAATCAAATAGTTATTTTTAGAACGTCATCTACAACCGTAATTAGTTTCTTAAAAGGTCGCCAGTCACTAGCACCCTTTTCTAGCCAATCATTCGAGATTTCTATGATCACATTCATTGTCACATATTGCAATTAAAAAAATAAAACCCATCAACACTTTTTTTCGTTTGACCCAAATGTAGCTGTCGAACATGTATACTGCCTCTTAACTATATGCTTTTTTTTCTTTACGTGTATGATAGAGTGACACCATTCAGAGTACGTATTATTATAAACCTAATTTTAACGCTTTCACAATAGCAATTATCATACAAAAAATGCATGTATAAATTGATAGACACTATAAAAAACAAAAAGATGCAAATTATTTATTTGCTAATTATAAAAGATTATAGGATATATATTCTACAAATATAAAATTATTTTATTAATAAAAAATATCTGACGTGTTTCAAAATATATTTATAAATAATTTAAATATATAATATAGTTTCAAAAATATTTTATATATATATTTAAAATATTCTCAACACATAATTTTTTTAAATATTTAATAGGAAAAATATACATATAAAATATGTATATTATAGATTCTATACTTGTTTTATCAAAATATATTATGAATCTATTTTATATATTCAAAACTTATATTTAATTTATATTTTGCATTGCTTTTTGGTAATATTTTAAATATATATTTGAATATATCAAACTATTATTAAAGATATATTATATTTATATTTTATTCGAGGTTCTATCAAATACAACTTTAAATATATAAAATATTTATAAAATACATATTTGTGCTACTAGGGAGAAGCATACCTCTATAAAAACATAACTATTTATCGGGTCTCAGGTAAGTTTTTTCGGAGTTATACAAACTAAAAAGATTTTATTGGCTTTTTTCCATTTTTTTTATTTTTTTTTATTTTTTCTAGAAAGACCAAATATACAAAAAGCTTAGTAAGCTGTTTATTGTATAA